AAAATAAAATCAAAGTCAAAATGCGGACGAGTCTATTTCTCGTTTCTGGTTGAAATTTAGTCCAGTTTGAACAAAACGCTGTCATTTCATCAGTAGTGGAGTGATCCAATTCCAGTCTTTGAAAGCCACAATAATTTTTCTTGTTTTCCTTTACTTGTCCTCAGCAGCCTTCCAGGTCCATGTATTCCAAGGTTCTGTAATTTTGGGGACGGGTCATTCTCGTCTCTTTTCAGAGAGACACCACTTCCTTTCAGATTAATTGTCAGCTGTCAATCTTGAATAGAAACTGCTATGTAATTTTCAAAAAACAAATTCCCTTTTTGGCAGTCTTCACAGCTTTCTTTAGTTCGGGTGTGTTTTCTTTCATCTGTCTCTGAAGTCTGAAATTAACAAAGCAACGACAGTCAATTCACCGTTGCTATAATGTTATTTAGCTCTTGATTAATTTAGCAACATTTCCAAGAACGTTCTCAGCGCAGCTAAAACATTTTGAGAGCAGTTTTGCTGATGATCACGCCTCGCTCACACTACACTAACATTTCGACCAAGCGGAGTAGCCTGCAGAACAGGCGGTCTCTGCCCCGCTAATCCGCCTGTTTTGTAGGCTAACTAAATACATCCTTTTAAATCCAAGTTACAGTAAAAACTCGCGTGTATATAAGAACCTACATTTGGCAAAATAGGTTCTTGTATTTTGAGGTAGTTATTGCTAATTTGGGCTAAGCAGGTTCTTAACTAAGTTCTTAATTTCTTTGAAGGAGATTTAGTTGTCAATTACCAGAAGTATAGATACACTTGGGTTTGGTCCTTAAATATATAGTACGTGTTTATTGACAAATGTATCATGATAAACCCAACAAAGTTGATTAAAGAAACTATAAGTAGCAGTGTTGTCTCTGTAACATGAGTTCATATAATTTAACTGTAAGCGACCTATAAGCACCTGCTTGATGTTGCTTGGCTAAACAGGTTCTTATATTTTTCGGAATTGTCTTAAACCATTAGGTCCTTACCTGCGATTTTTTGCTGTATCACAGCCCACATCAGGATATCTCAAGTGTAGTTCAAAGCTGCAAAGCTAATCTCTCAGAAACCACGGTAAAACAAATTTCATATCACTTGCCTTTTAACGAGTGACAGATCACCACAACCAAGTATAACCAGCATCAAGCTTTGACTCGGTACTGCATCGTGGATTTGCTTGATTCTCCAGTCCACTGATAGAAGCACATCCTTTAGAACAAAAAGGTTGCTATTTAAAGAAACTGTGTCAGGGATTTTAGTAAAATTTAGACGTACGAAAATGGTCACCAAATTGAATGAAATATAAAAACAATTACTCGAAACAGTGAAGGAGCATTTAAATACATGAGAGGTACAGATGGACAGAAATTGAAGAAGATTAAAACGAATTGCGATATGGGTTTTTGAAAACCTGCCAGGCTGAGCAGTTTTAAAAGTTAATTTCGTTTGTTTGTCCCTTTTAATTATAACACCCGGGAGACTTAGGCCCCCTCAACAATACGCTGGAGAAATTTGAAAACACAGTTTTATTTCCACGGTTAGGCCTACCCTCGACACTAACGCGTCACGAAAACGGAGCTTTTGAAAAACGCTCTTCAAACCGGAGGAATTTGAAAACGCCGGCTTTGCGTCTTAAAGGGGACGGAAAACATTTTGAAAACGGAGCTTTTCGAAAACGATGACGTCACGATAATCACGTGATTTCCATGACCGAGGATTCCTCAAACACAAATCCAAAATGACCGATGATTGTTGCGTTTTCAAACTTCTCCGACGTAGACTAGTGTGGACTTAAGACATTTGATGCGTTTTCAGAGTGAAACTCTGTTTTCAAAATTCTCTGGCGTGGTATAGACGGGGCCTTATTAATTTTGTAATGAAGCTATGGTTTTGGTATTTAGATCCATAGAAGCAACTTCTTCGGTACCATTGAGCTTCATAGCGAGTATTTGGCAAAACGTAATGAACTCCGCAGTGATACAGTTCCTCCTCTCTGTTTATTCCAAGTCCTTCGCTACCTTAATCATATTTGTGATAAAAGCTGTCCTAATTATACAACTGCAACAAAAACTTCACAGTAAACGTTGAAGAAAGCTAAAGCATACCATGAAAGATCGCCGTTTATCTTCTTCAAGGCTAGACTGCCCCTCTAGATAAAGAAGATCACAATAAAAGTCAAGGCAAGGGCTAAATATATACAATTATAATATAGATAGGTTGATTTGTCAAAAACCCATGTTTTATCGAATTATAAAACATGGAAAAAGCGTGATTTATTGTTTTGCGCGTGTAAAATCTATATCATAAAGCAAATAAAGAAGCCTAAGCCGTGTATTACACTGTGATAAAACACTCTGGACATTTCAGAACACTCGAGAAATGTAGAAAACACTCGCCTGCGGCTTCCAAATCTCTTGGGAACATTTCAACTTCGTGAAGATGGGCCCACACAATATCTGAAGCTTCCATTAATCTTACTGCATGAGAAACAACCTGTCAGAAACGGTAAAAAGAAAAAATCCCGATGTTTCTATGTAACAATTTTTTAATAAGTGTTCTTCTGCGGATCCACTCGGCTATCGTCTCGCGGATCCACAGCTACTTTGACAATGTTATGACGAAATTCATGATCAATGACAGGACAGACGCATAATTTGACCACATTCCAAACACCGAGAGGAGAGTTGCGTTGCGACGCGCGGCGAAGTATTTTTGACGAACTTCGAGGTGTTTGGATGTGTGGTCAAACACCGTCTTGAGTGTTAAGGAGAAATTGGAGATATAAAATCGTAAAATCTATGCTAATTAAGTTCTGATATCCAAACACCGTCACGGTCATGATTTCCTTAGTTTAAACTTGATGAATTATTAATGAGTTTGAGAAGTTGGGATCCAGTGCTCTAGGAAAATTAATTTTTAGTCAAGAATAAACAACTTAGACATGCAGCGATCTTGAGGCGAAATAGCCTATATAGCCTGTAAGTTTTAAGCCTTCAGCCGGAACGAAATTGAAACATGACATAAGATTTAGACACACAGAATTGGTCCAGACACTGAACAGCGAAAGAATTTACAGTATTATTATCAATCTTGGAAATATCGCCTACCTCTTGATCTGAATTGCAAGCGATGGCGTGTGTTGCACCGGTACCAAATCTTCTTACCACTCCTGGGTAGTCCAGCATGGATGCTGTCGGAAAAGAAACCCGTAGAAGATTTCACTTTCTGTCATTAAAGTAACAGAACAGTTCTGGATCGTATACTGTAGTGTGAATGTCTTGGTGAGTGTGCAAGTAGTTCTGTGAAGAACTGTTGATGGTCACTGAAGTTTCGACAGCCTGTACGGAAGTCAACTTCGCAATGTCTTCCACTCGGGTTGACGAAACGCCAGTGGCCGAAAACAGTTCTTTTAAATAACATCACCCAGACGATCACACTATACAAACTACTCATACTTCTGAGTTCAATCCATTTAATAGGAGATTTCCAAAACGTTTGTGAACTTAACAAAACCAACGTCAAGCACACATGTGAAAACGCTGTGAAGTCGGGGCCAAGCGAGATGGATAGCAACTGAGTGTTGAAGGGTGCGAGCTGCACGAAGGTTTGCTTCAACTCTCAGAGGGCGTGGCCGCTTTTTTGAGCAGCACCAAACTCTCTGAGAGAGTACTGGGGCCGACAGAATTTGCCGAGAGTAAGTAAGAGTCAGTCAAGGCTAAGCGTGTACAGATAGCTGTCTTTCTCGTCTCACCCAAGCTTTACATTACTGCTCTTATTTTCACATTAAAAAAACCCCAAATGATTACCTGTTTTTCCACTACGCCCAGTTCTCTCAAAAAATCTGTATAGAAAGTAAATCGAGGTCAAAAACACACAAGATGAGGTCAATTACAGTTTCATTAAAAAAGCGATTTCTCCCTCGTCATGCACTAAAATTGAACTAAAAACTTAAAGGAAAACTAACCTCTAAAGCGAAAAAAAGTGTTAAAGTTCTCTAAGCTTTCATGACAGGTTTTATTATTTTCTTATGAGTGTTTCTGGAAGTTGAGTTGAAATTGAAACAGAATACTAAATCTAATATTGTGTTTCTCTGGATAGTCCAGAAATGAGCGTTGGTTTCCGCAATTACTTGCGGACTACTCTCAGGTTTACAGACCTTCCATTTTCTCTTACGATCGTCGACGGCGTTTGCAACTAAGATGGGGTGGAAGCGGGGGGGGGGGGGGGGG